GGTACTGCCACAAAACACTGGATTCATTTTGAAGCAAATGGAAGCATTACATTTTAAATGTGACCAAAATATCTCTTTCATGTGCTGCTGGGGCAAATTTGAAGAATGTTTTGTATATAATCAGAATGTTACCATCACTTCAATGTTGCTCTCATGATAAATTTCTCCAGCATGTGCATGACAACCACATCTTGCCTGCATGATGGGTACATTTTTTCTGTGGCTTTTCAATTTGCCCCCTGATTACATCGGATGCATTTCATTTGATATGTCATATACATGTGCCCAGCAGTCCCATGTTAATTGCATTTGTGTGTGCATATTTACTTTAGCATGGTGATACATCAAGCATGTGACCAGAATCCGCCTATTGGGCACATTGTGGTCACATATTAAATAAACAAATCAGCCACATATGATAGCCCATTTTAATGGGCATATTTTTTCTGTGGCTAGGAATTCCATGATATTTGCATTTTGGAGCTTACTTGAATTAAATTTCAAATGTGCATGGTAGGCATATGGGAAGAATATGGGAGAGCATTAATGCCTCCAATCAACATTTGCTTACTCATGTGCCCATTGGCCAAATAGCCGGTTCTCCCCTGTGTAAGGAAAAGAAAGAGGATCCTGTAGAAACTAGAGAGACTTTTGTCACAAAGAAATACAAGCCGGTTGCACAGAAAATCAGGCCAGTATACCAAGACCTCCCAGATAAATTCAGAATAATTCGTGATATTAAAGGGAATCCTCTTGACACTCTCCCAAAGTTGAATAGGACACCTCCTGACTTTGTACCTACAGGTCGCTACACTGATGAAAGAAAGGAACAATTTGACAAAGTCCACAGCAGTGACTTTTTGTGGCCAGAAGAACGAAAATTATTACACCATTTTATGATGGAGAATAATGAGGCTTTTGCATGGGATGACTCTGAGAGAGGAAGATTCAAACCAGAATACTTCCCACCTGTAGATATTCCTGTTATACCACATACACCCTGGGTCTTGAAAAATATTCCTATCCCACCAGGATTATTCTCAGAAGTATGTAAAATCATTAAGACAAAGATAGATGCTGGGGTTTATGAACCTTCAAATTCGTCTTATAGATCACGGTGGTTTTGCATATTAAAGAAAGACGGAAAAAGCTTGCGAATTGTACAAAGTCTAGAACCCTTGAATGCAGTCACAATAGCACACTCGGGTTTACCACCTGCAACAGATGCACTTGCAACACATTTCTCGGGTCGGGCATGTGGAGGCATGTTTGATTTATACATAGGATACGATGAGAGACTTTTAGCGGAGTCTTCTCGGGATTTGACTACTTTTCAAACACCTTTCGGTGCTTTGCGACTTGTAACGTTACCAATGGGTTGGACTAATTCAGTGCCAATATTCCACGACGACGTCACGTACATTCTACAAGACGAAATACCAGATGTTACAGTACCATATATTGATGATGTGCCTTGCAAAGGTCCAGCAACTAGATATGAGTTACCTGGAGG